GAGGCGCGGAACGGCCGCCGCCGCCGCGACGCTGCTGCCGAGGCTGCTGCTCCGCCGCCTGCTCGCTCGCCCGCTAGCTCGCGCGGTCCGCGTCCAGCCCGCTGCTCTCCGGACACGGGCACACGGCGCGCGCAGCCGCACTCGCCCCCGGAGGGTGGCGCCGCGCTGGGTCCTAAAAAGCCCTGATTCCGCGCCCCTCTCCTAGCCCGGCGCCGAACCCGGCCTCCCTCAACCCCGGCGCTGGGGGCGCCCGCCCAGCAGGGCTCCTCCTGCTCGGTGGGGACCCGCCGACGCTCCGCCCTCGGGGAGCTCCACCGATGGGCGGGGACTCCCAGAGACGTCTGGGCCCGTGCCCCTCGGTCACCCCGAGGTGAGAAGAGGGTAGGCAGCAGTTCCTCTTCTCCAAACCAGGAGCCAGCTGATCCCCTGAGGACACCTTTACCGGGACTAGTACTGGCCGCTCCAAGGAACCCTTTAATATCCACCTTTCTTAGGGAACCTGGAGCCCCAGCGATCCTTCCAGAATTACCCTCTCTCACATGAACTGCAAATACCTCCCCCACCGCCCACCTGCCCTAACTTTCCATTAAGGATCATTCCTGACGAACTCTTAATCTTTTCCAACCCCTTCAGACCTCTGAGTGCCTCCCAACTGCAGGGTGATCTGGTCACAGGATTGCCACGCGGATCCCAGCTTACCCACTTACCTGGATCTCTAGGTGTGGACACTTTATGAAAAGGGGTTCAGGTACCAGTAGTTCGGGGGCTCCTGAATGCTGACCGTCCCCCCTCCCCTGGGAACTTTTGGCTGCCCTGTCTGATGGCTGTGGCTCCTTCCTACACCTTCAGAGTTTATGCTGCTGACAGAAGTTGGACTTCTGACCTCGGGAAACCCTTGTCACCTGTGCCTCTGTTTATTTAATCCAATGATAATTTCTTCATTCTTTACTTGCTCCAGGTTCTGTCCCAGGCACAAGGTCACAAGGGACAAATCAGACCTAACTCTTTCTCTGTGGGCTCCCAATCTTTGGGGGAAGTGGACAGGTGGGTCCAGGAGGGACTGGGAAGGTCAGGTCCAGCTCCAGGAGCCACTGGGCTGAGGAAGAAGATTATTGATTCATGTCCAGTGCAATCGAACACAGGCTGCATAGGCAAAGGGGATTTAATTAAGAAGAGACAGGCTCTTATTTAGTGTTGACACTCACTAGCTGTGCAGATGGCTGCCTGTTCTGACCCACACTGTCCTGAGCCTGGTGACAAAGTAGTGCCACAGACATGTCTCCCCATTTGGACAGGAGAATCCCAGCCTTGATACAAGATCTGTGTATCTCAGGGAAAACGTGTGGAGAGGTAGGGAAGGTCAAGGGACAGGGCTGGGAAGGAGCGATGGAAGGACAAGAGGAAGACTGGAAAGGCACAGTTATCAGAGAGAGGCAGAGACGGACAAAGAGGTGACTGGAGTCGGATGGGGATGGTATCCCTTCCCTCCAGTGGCTGATTGCAATATTCCTCTAAATAGCTGTTTCCCCTTCTGCCTCAGAGGGTGGTTTTCAATGTCCTTCTCACCCTGACCAGTGTGAGTCCCATCCCTTGACCACAAGGAGGCCCAGCATGGTGCAGCTCTGCCTGGCCCTGAGGCAGATTCCCAGGATGCAGGCTCTCAGGATGTTTCACCCAAACCTTGGAGGAATGAACAGAGACATGGATACCTCCAGAAGGAAGAGGCAACAGAGGGACATGGAGGTATGGGCATGCACAGCCTCAGCTGGCATCAGTCAAGGAGGAGACAAGAAAGGCCTCTCTAGACTTCTGCTTCCTCCCTGACAGAAGTCCAGCCCCTCTTCCCTAGGAAACCTGAGATGCCAGCCACAAGAGCTTGGGCTGCCCCTCTTTTCTGTCCTGCAGAGCCACACAGAACCAGAGTCTGGCTCCCTAACCTTCTCTGTAGCCTATCTATCCCTATTTAACAACTCTCAGTATCTCCAGGTTGCCCCTTTGCTTCCCTCTACAAAGCCATGAAACCCCTGGTTGAAATCTATTTGATTTGGGAATGGCAAAGGATGGGACTTGGACCCTAGAACTCAGCCTCAGAGACTATTGATGTCTAGACTCCCTAACTGAAGCTGAGTCCAGGAAATGGACTTACCCAGGGTCTCTGAGGGGTTAGTACTCGGTTCCAACCAGACCCTACTCCATGGTGAGTTCTAAGGGGAGTCACACACAGTGTGTCCAGAACACAGGGAAAATCAGGCAGAGAAGGGTCAGGTGAAGAGACAGAGGCAAAACTTCTGGCAGAGGGAAGTCTGGGTGGCAAGGGGTCTAGTTAGGTTTGGCCCTGGAGGATGTGCTAGAAAAACTTCCAGGGCTGGAGGAAGAGGGCATAAGAAAGGGTTTCTACCATAACCTAAGAGATAAGTGGACCAGGCTCGGGTGAAAGCCTTCCTGAGGTGCCCCACTCTGTTCCACTTTAATACTCTCATTTTGATCCCCGATGACGCCCCCAGGCTTCAAGGAGTGCCCTGCTTCTGTATCCTAAACAGGACATAAAAGTCACTTCTCTCACTTCCCCTTCACACTGAGAGAAGGCTGGCATTTACAGAAAGCCCAGAAAAACCAAGATGACAACACAGAAGAGAGAGAGAGCGAGGAAAAAAAAAACACATCAAGAGACAGAGAAATGGGGTTGCAGGGAGGGGAGGAGGTACTGACCAACCCTAGCTTCTTCTTCAGAAATGGTGAAGACCTTCAGCCCCACAAAAGAGGCTTTCCTCAGCCCTGTGTCAAATGGTCTTTGGTGGCTGTGGCTGGTTTGAGGGTGGCCAGTCCTGTCTAGGGTATAAAGAATAGACTAGGACAGACTGCCTGGATTCCAGTCTCTGATGGTCTACCTTTGACTAGCCATGACCTTGGACAAGTCACTCAACTTTTCTGTGCCCTGTTGTCTTTATCAGTAGATGAGTGTAATATCCATTCCTGTATCCCTAACTCCTCAGCTCTGGGATTTTTCTTGTTTAGGCTGAAAGGGAGGGAGTGTTGTGATGCTGGAAGGCCCCTGTGAGAATGGTTGGACTCAAAAGATAAAGCAGGTCTGGGTAAGGAATAGAGCACTGTAAAGGGTTACCTGAAGCCAAGTTAGGCCTATGTTGTCACACCTGGCACTTGCAGGCCTCACGTCTGGTCCTGCTGGGCTTAGGAACTGGCCTTTGTCCAAGTTGGCACAGGGTCCATGGGGCTCTCGCAGGTCTGAGATTCTGTGATCCTGGTGGGCTGGGCTGCCATCTTGTGGCTGCGCCTGGAATCTAACCTAAACTGGACGCTGGTAGACTAGATTGGATTGCCCTGCTGGGATGATGGGCCGTGGGACTAGCAGGTGTCCCCTTCCCAGGTCAGACCTCCTCCTTCCAATGGGCAGGGGAGAGCAAACCTAGAGGCATTATTGTGAGCAATTGATGACCTTGGCCATCAATCTATAGCTTGGAAGGTAACCCTGGTACTGAGCCAGTCGAGTGGGGCATACAGCTGTTCCTTCTTGAAGTGGGTAGAGGTTCCAGAGAAGCCTAGAAAAGGGTAAGGTGAAGATGCTCAGGGGAGGTGTCTAGATCAGGGTCTCTCAAGTTCTGAACTGTTGACACCACACCAGAAAAACTTGGATGCTGTACTGTGTCTAACAGGAGAGTTCCAGGCTGCTTTCTGTCCACTAGATGTCATTAGAAGCAACTTTCCCAGTCATGATCATGAAAAGGTCTAGCAGGGGTGTCCATCAACCTTTGGGCTTTTCTGGGCCACACTGGAGGAAGAATTATCTTGGTCTACATATTAAATCCAGGAGTCAGACTACAGCTGGTAGGTTACAACAACATGCACCGGTTTATTTTGTAAAATATTGTGACAATCTATAAAGTTTCTGTTCAAGAACCATATAATTCAGTTATAAAAAAAATCTCAAAAAATCATCACAATGTTTTAAGTAAGTTTAGGATTTTGCGTTGGTACATTCATAGCTCTCCTGTAGCCTGTGGGCCACAGATTGGACACACCTGGTCTGTAGTCGCCCCTAGATGTCCCTTGGAGTCTAAACATTTCTAGTTAGATTAGGTCACTCCCTCCTCTCTGGGCTTCTGTTTCCTCATCTGTGTAAAGGGAGCACTATTTTGTGAGCACTGAATGAAAGTGTCTTACACGTCTTCCGTTGTCACTCAATAGTCATA